TTAGTCTTTTATGTTATTTTATTTTTCTTTGTATTTTGATCTTCCATTTCTGTTTTCCTTTCCTTTCTCTTTTTCGTTCTACTTAAACTAATAAGGAACTAAAGTGAGGTATGAAAATGGAAAAGAATTTTTTTCTGCTATATTGACAATTTTAAAATGAGTTAATGCTTGTTCGCCTTACCTTCAAAAAAATTAGGAGAAAAAATAACAAAAATCACTTTAATATATGTTTTAAAAATATGGTAGTTTTATCTTTTTTCAACAAAAATTTAAAAAAAAAATGATGTTATTTTAAGATGATTTTCTTCATAATCTTTAGGAGGTAAGGCTGACAAACACTTTTTTTATTTTAAAATACCGAAAAATGTTTACAAAAGTTATGCAAATACGGATAAAAATCTTAGATTATTATTATTATTTGAAAACAGGCAATGATTATTATTATTATTATTTAAGTATCAAAAGTTATTTGTTTCACTTTATAAAAATTTAAACCCTCACCCTTAATTAGGACGAATTAAGAACTTTAAATTAATAAATGAGAAAAGCGTGATTCCCACGTTTTTATCTAGTAATTTGGACTCTTGGTTAGTACAGATAACCTCTTATGAGTTTCGTTTTTGAGTCTTGTAGATCTCATTTCTTAATTACTTAAAATATGTAACTAATTTTAGTTAATTCAAAAAAAAAAAAAAAGAGAGAAAAGTTTGCGGCTTTTAAATTATTTTTTTGAAAGATTCAACTAAAAACTTAATTTGTAATTAATATTTTTAAAAATAATGTTAAATTAAAAATTTTATTCATATAAATTATGTATATAAATTTTAAAATTATTTTAATAAACCTAACTACCTCTTTTATTTCACAAAATTTAATATCATTAAAATTTATTTCATTAATAGTTTTTTAATTAAAGGATTACAAATATTAAATTAATATAAAAATTAATATATATAATTTATACAAATAAAATTTTTAATGAATAATTTATTTTTAAAATTTTAATTAAAATATAAAATTTAAGACAAGTCCTAAAACAAATTTTAAAACATTTACCAACATTACACTTATCCCTTAGGAAATTTCAACCCAATTAGATTCATTTTAATATAAAAAAATAATATTACAATTATAAAATCACATATAATTATGAATTTATAATTTATAATTTATCACTAAATAAATAAAA